CAATACTTTGGCTACCTCATGAGAAGAGAAGACTCCCTGGAAAAGACCCTGATGTTGGGAAAGATGGAGGGCACAAGGAGAAGGGGACGACAGAGGATGAGATGGTTGGATGGTGTTCTTGAAGCTACCAGCATGAGTTTGATCAAACTGCGGGAGGCAGTGGAGGACAGAAGTGCCTGGCGTGCTCTGGTCCATGGGGTCACGAAGAGTCGGACACGACTAAACGACTAAACAACAACATCTCTCATGCAATACACATACAAGACTCATTTGATAATTGAGGTTAATTGTACTAAATTCAGGAGAAAATACTTGGGTGAGGCTCTCTCAAAATGACACCTGCAAGAAGCAGGGTTGAACATTTTCTTGATTATAATTAGCACATGTTATTGAAGGGAACCAAGTGACTAGACATTTGTACTGTTAATAGTTTCTCCCTTGTCTAATCCACTTTGCTGTGTTAATTTCTCAGAAGACCTGTTTGCCCAGATCCTGCTACAACACCACAATATGGGGAAAAACCTCCTTTACTCTTCTAGAAGTGTGCTGTCATACTTCTGGCAATAAGGGGCATCATATTATATTTCTACTCTATCCGGAATGTATTTCTCTCTCATGGAATGAGTTGGTTCACGTACAAAAAAACAACAGTAAATTTAGAAGACCAGAACAGCGGATGGTTTCATACAGCTTAGCAGCCAATTACAGCAACATTTAGTTCTTTGTTCCATTGGAGTGGTAAGATTTCCAATCTCCGCTCAACCTTTCTTGCCTTTTCCATTGCTCTTGTTTGACAGTTTTATTTCTGTGCCCTTTTCTCTACTTGCTTCCAACCGTAATCCACTTAATGCTCTATTTCTCTCAGCCTTTCTGCTGTTTGTAGCACCAGACCACAAAGCCTGAAACAATTCTTTTAAATGCCTCTTTGGTGTATCCCTCTCTCTCTTAGTCCCAGCTTTCCCCTTTTTACTTGTGGCATGTAACTTCTCACAATGCTCTCATGCTTTTCCGCCTTCCTGGAATCCCCATTTCACCCTCTCTCAACTTATCTTAAAAATGAAATAAAACAATGTTATCAACCACCCTTCTCTGAAGGGCATGGTTTCCCAATTTCCAACACCACACACACACACCAGGCTGAGAGAACATGACTGGAACAAGGTCTACACCACACAGGTTCCAACTAGCATCTACATATAGGAATAGCAAATTTCTTAAACCAAAAAGCTGCAACCCCCCCCCCAAAAAAACCTCATGCTCAAGGACTAGCTTTATCAACCTCCACTACCATTGGTGCACCATCCACCAAGTTTAATGGAGCAACATTCCTAACATATGCAAAAATATTGGGCAATTTCCCAACCTATACTAATTGAAATTGCCCTGTGTCGTTAATTGTTATGAAACTCTTGCCATAATTCTTGGAGCAACAGACAAAGCCCCTGAAGCGCAGTTACCAAAACAAACCCCCCACAACCTACCCATCTTTGTTGTCCTTTTCCATCCTTAAAAAAGAAAGGAGGGGGAAACCGGAGAGGGAGGGCACTTTACCCTGATTAAATGCACACTAGAACCCCTGCTGCAGCAGGTACTGTGTTTATTTAGTTAATAAAATTCATATTCCAGCTGATTGTAAAAGCAGCAACAACCTCAAAAGCGATTTGCCATGGTTCACAACTTAAAAGAAAAACTGCCCACAACATGGAAAAACTCCAAGCAATGCGCTGTCTCTCCCCAGGAGTCTGTGATAGCTCAGTTGGTAGAGCATAAGGCTCTTAATCTCAGGGTTGTGGGTTTGAGCCCCACACTGGGCAAAAGATTCCTTCAGTGTGGTGAGCCAGTGTGGTGTAGTAGTTAAGAGTGGTGGACTCGTAATCTGGGGAACTGGATTCGCGTCTCCGCTCCTCCACATGCAGCTGCTGGGTGACCTTGGGCTAGTCACACTTCTCTGAAGTCTCCCAGCCCCACTCACCTCACAGAGTGTTTGTTGTGGGGGAGGAAGGGAAAGGAGAATCTTAGCCGCTTTGAGACTCCTTCGGGTAGTGATAAAGCAGGATATCAAATCCAAACTCTTCTTCTTCATTGCAGGGGGCTGGGCTAGATGACCCTTGTGTTCCCTGCCAACTCTGCTATTGATTCTATGAGCCAAGTTCTGCCCAACATGCTAATTTTGTATAATGGTACCTCAGGTTACATACGCTTCAGGTTACAGACTCCGCTAACCCAGAAATAGTGCTTCAGGTTAAGAACTTTGCTTCAGGATGAGAACAGAAATTGTGCTCCAGCGGCGCAGCGGCAGCGGGAGGCCCCATTAGCTAAAGTGGTGCTTCAGGTTAAGAACAGTTTCAGGTTAAGTACGGACCTCCGGAACGAATTAAGTACTTAACCTGAGGTACCACTGTACATGCAAAAACTTGTGGGTAGAGAAGCATTCACTTATGCAAATTTCCATCTGTAGCGTGAACTGGTGTAGCTCAGAGACAGCTTTCCATCTCAGATAGAAGTAGGATCCAGATCTTTAACTGGTCAGGATGTTCACAGCTCTGCCTCTCCAGGCAGCTAAGGACAGATAAACCAGGAATGCACTGCACTGAATATAAAGGAGCTGCTGGGAGCACTAACGAATCTAGTGAATCACTGCTCCATTGTTCTCAGTACTGACAGAGGCCTGTTTCTGCAATGCCAGGAAAAAGCTTCTGAATGAGAGGTGAGCTTGCCTAGCTGCTGGGCATCAACGCTTTGCATTTGTTCAGTAGAGACACAGTTCATTCCTGTCAGAAGACTTCAGCACGTTTTGCAAGGCACAGAGGCATGAGAATCACACACTTGTCACCGAAAGTTGACAATTCTGACCAATATACCTATCCCACTGCCTAGAATGCACCCTTACCAAGAAGACTGAAGCCACTGATTTGGAGTACAGTGGCACCTCAGGTTACATACACTTCAGGTTACATACGCTTCAAGTTACAAACTCTGTTGACCCAGAAATAGTACCTCGGGTTAAGAACTTTGCTTCAGGATGAGAACAGAAATCGTGCTCCAGCAGCACGGCAGCAGTGGGAGGCCCCATTAGCTAAAGTGGTGCTTCAGGTTAAGAACAGTTTCAGGTTAAGAACAGACCTCCGGAACAAATTAAGTACGTAACCAGAGGTACCACTGTAGATCCCCAGGCTGCTGGGAGATCATCATTCATGCTGTGGCCCCTCTGGTTGCAGCAGCTCAGTGTTTCAGAGTCACCAAGATAACTGAAGAGGCTGCCCCAACATAGCAAAGGACCCATACATGGATAGGCCATGCATTAGATTTGGCGTTTCTTCCCCAGGACTGGTGAGCAGTGGAGGAGTTTGAAGCTCCACTGCTAGAAAGAACATTAACTGGGTAACATTCAATATTCTGGTGGCTTCTGGTCCATGCAGAAATGTGTGCCAATTTACGTGGTCTGCTACCCCAAAATGGGATGAAGCCAATTGATTTTAATCAGTAATATGGTAGCTGATGCCATCAGCTGCCTTGCTGGAGCTGCAATGGGTCGCTGGAAATCAACACCTTCCTGGACAGTTGTGACCACAGCTCTCAAATACTTGTCACTGCTTTCTAAAAATCATGGTAGCAGGAATTCATGAAGCGATTTGATTATACTGTAGTAGTATAGTAGTGAAGTATTGGTGTCTATACCCACTCTGGAATGGCCATTCCTTCTGCAACTGAAAATGCCAGTGATTGCTGTTCAGTGGAACAGACTGCCACAAGAGGTGGTGGACTCTCCTTCCTTGGAGGTTTCTAAGCAGAGTTTGGATGGCCAGCTGTCACATATGTTCTAACTGAGATTCCTGCATTGCAGGGAGTTGGACTAGATGACCCTCGGAGTCCCTTCCAAATAAGGATGCTTATCCCTATGAACAACAAAAAGATGCATCCAATTCAATGTGGTTGGGCGAATAGTAAAAAGATGGAGATGATCAGCTAAATATGCAGGAAGCTTCTGTACAACAATCTCCCTTTCTGAAATAAGGCAATATCCTTTAAAGCCAAGGGTTACAAGAGGTCTGGACTCAAGCCATATGTCACAATTCTGCCAATATTAACCATAAGCCCTGTTCATTTAAAGAGATACAGTGGTGCCTCGCAAGACGAAATGAATCCGTTCCGCGAGTCTCTTCGTCTTGCGGTTTTTTCGTCTTGCGAAGCACGGCTATCAGCGGCTTAGCGGCTATTAGCCGCTTAGCAGCTATTAACGGCTTAGCGGCTTAGCAGCTATTAACGGCTTAGCGGCTTTAAGAAAAAGGAAACAAACTCGCAAGAACTCGCAAGACATTTCGTCTTGCGAAGCAAGCCCATAGGGAAATTCGTCTTGCGGAACGACTCAAAAAACGGAAAACTCGTCTTGCATGTTTTTCGTCTTAGAGGTATCACTGTAAGTGCATGATCCCACACCAAAATCAATACAATATACATTGGCAGAATTGTGTCCTATGAACCTGATAATCCAAATCTACAGAAATTTGCTTTAAATGACTTTTCAGTCTCTATTTGGACAGTAATTTACTTTCAGCTCCACAAAATATTTTTACAGATCTTACTAGACCCCACAACATTGATTGATTGATCTTCTGACCAGTGCAAAAGCACCACTCAGTATGTTATAGGACTATTGAATGGTCAACTCTTCCTGGTAGGTATTATATGAACTTGTCAATTTAGTAGTTGTTTGGGTAAATGTTGATAGCTCAAATTATAAAAGCAGAAAATTAAAACTTCTCCAAAAACACAAAATTGGAAGTAAGAAACTAGAACTTTTAGCTGTATGAGCGGAAATAGACTCTAGAAAACATGGAGAAGCTGCAACCTTTGAAGAGAGTCTTTTTCATAGTTGTTTATGATGCAGAACTTCCTTATGAGATATATTAAGTCCATGCTGCAATGTTCTGTTTCTCTTCAGGGAACAATCTGAAGAACTGTGCAAAGGAAGATATAGTATTTTTCTTGTAATTTATCCTGCTTGGGTAACTCAGCTGGCAGAGCACGAGACTGTTAATCTAGGGTTGTGTGTCCAAGTCCCACGTTGGGCAAAAGATTCCTGCATTGCAGGGGGTTGACCCTCGTGGTCCCCTTCCAACTCTACAATACAATGATATATTGCATGTGACCATAGAATATATGTATTTCTTTCTGTTGCATGATGCTTTTTATTATAAAATATTATCAAGGGCTCCCATGTATTTTACACATACACCACATTCAGCTCAGTCATTCTTTGCATTAAACAATACAAGAACAAAATTACTCATCAATGTGTTTCAGTCAAGAGCACAGCAGTGAGTAGCAAATCATTCCCAGCAGGACAGCTTGTGCCCAAAGGTATTTATTCTCGGCACTGCAGTGGCGGAGAGGGATGGAGGGGGAGGTTAATTCACACCAGTTTACGTACTTAGTTTAGAGCTTCCAACTTTCATATCATAAAACATTAACAAGCTCAGCACTGTATTACTGAAGTAAGAAATTAGTCTACTGAAAGCTTTCACAAATAGATAGCAACAACAATAAGAAACATTAGATAAACACAGCAACAAATGAAGAACAAATGCAGCTTTTCTTGCAGCTTTTCCCCATGCTGCAGGAAGCACTGAACTGAATACAGATAGTCTTCTGGTTCCCTTCTGGGTATCACTGCAGTAGCTGATGCTTATAGGCAATAGAGAGAATCCACTGCAGACAGGGGAAACAGCATTTCAGGCAAATCTGTTCCACTGAGCTATGGCCCCCATTGTTAAAAAGTCCTACAGTACTAGCAATTTTGTTTATAACAGGAATTGGTATTGCTACTTTTGTACTTTGAAACTGGTTTTCTGTGCGCAGCCCATTAATGGTAGTGATTAACCAAAGTGCTCTACCCTACTGCATTTGCAGTATGTTTCCTCATGTTCCACACCTCCAATACTTGCAAGTTCTTAGCAGAGAGCAGCCATCATGGCTAGTAACTATCACCAGCCCTGTCCTCCAGGAATTTGCCCAGTCCTCTTTTAAAGCCATCAAAGTTTCCCAGTTTAACTATGCACTACATAAGTACTTTCTTTTACCTGCCCTGACTCTTCCAACATTCAGCTTCACTGGATGTCCATGAGCCCTAGGGTTATAGAATCTTTTTTCTGTTGCTCAGCACCCCAGCAAATAAGGAAATCACTACTAAGCATGTAGGAGACAAGGTTTCATAGATATTACCAGAAGTTACCCATGTTTGTGAAGTGAGGAAGGATTCTCTATAACCACAAAGGCTACGTTTTTCTTAGAAAACGAGGATTTTTTTCCTTTCTTTTGGAAAATAAGTTGTTTTCTTCTGAAATGACTATTAATTTAAACATCATGTGGCTGTCTGACTGGAGGGCCTGATAGTGGAAGTATCACATTGAAGGTAAGCAGCATCTTGAAGATATGCAGTTTTATATAATCTGAACTCGAATAAATGCAGTGTCTTATCCCCCTACATACATCCCAAATGTACCTCGACCCATGATACAAAAGTGCATTTAATCTAATTTGCACTCACTTCCTTAAGAGAATACCTTTTTACCATGAGAAATCAGAACGAACTTCCTTCTCCTTGTATCTTGCTTTGGTACTAGGCAACTAGTGGGCAGGCAAAAAGGACTGGCCAGTGTGATATGGCTTTGCTGCTACTCATGCTGGCTCACAAGTGCCTCCATCCATATACCTTCTACCTCAAACCCTGAACCAGTTTGGGCACTGACCAAAAGCTAAGTAGATTACCTGGAAACCTATGGATTCTCACACATCATGGCAACCATTTACATGAGGTTAACCTAACATAGCAATTTCCAGGACCACTTATCCATCAATGTGCAACCAATTCTGATTTTTGTTCACTGTGATCTCCATTCCCAATTTAATGTTTCTCTCAAACTTGAGCAACTTTCTTTGTGTTGGTAAAGTTGGTAAAGGACCCCTGGATGGTTAAGTCCAGTCAAAGGCAACTATGGGGTGTGGCGCTCATCTCACTTTTCAGGCCAAGCAGTACCTATTTATCTATTTGCACCAGTATGCTTTCAAATTGGTATGTTGGCAGGAGCTAGGACAGAGCAACGGGAGCTCACCCCATGGTGGGGATTCTTTGTGTTACAGATGTACATATTACACTCCCTTTCTCTCAATGTATACATATTTGTCATTCCAATTTTTACAGCTCTTTACTAGGCAAAAACAAAGCAGCAACCCACAAAGGGGATGCTGTAAATAAAAATCTATAAATCAGCATTACCATCTGTTTAAACAGGAAATACACAAACAGAATAGTTCCCCACGCTCTAAGCTATCCAGCACTCTGGATGCAGTACTGTTGCTTTTGTGAAAATTCTCTGCCCCCTAGCAATAACCTAAATAGTTGACATATTTCCAAACGCCTTACATGAAACAAATATTTGCACTCATGCCCATTTTGTTTATTTTCATCCAACATGGAACTGATGTCATGCAGTTAAATTGAGTGATTTTTTAAAAGGTCTAGTTTACCTTTCACAAGTAGATAAAAAGAAGCTACAGTCTACTCAGCAAGTATCTTATCCTTAATGGGCACAGTGCTTCTTCCTTTAACATGCATACACAAAAACCACTTCCAGCAACTGTTCACCAAAGCTTTTGCCAGCACTCTACAAGATTAGCACCTCCCCAAAGGAAAGCTTTCTGTAGAGCAATACCTTTTCACTGTACAGTGGTATCTCGGGTTAAGTACTTAATTCGTTCTGGAGGTCTGTTCTTAACCTGAAACTGTTCTTAACCTGAAGCACCACTTTAGCTAATGGGGCCTCCTGCTGCTGCCACGCTGCTGGAGCACAATTTCTGTTCCCATCCTGAAACAAAGTTCTTAACCCAAGGTACTATTTCTGGGCTTGCGGAGTCTGTAACCTGAAGCATATGTAACCTGAAGCATATGTAACCCGAGGTACTACTGTACAGCGAACGTGGCTCACCAGTGGCCCTCCAAATATTGTTGGATTCTAGCTCCCATCAGTGTCAGCCAGCATGGTCAATGGTGGAAGAAGATGGGAGTTGTAGTCCATAGCATCTGGAGGTCAGCATGTTGGCTACCCTGGCATAGAAACCTATGATTGCTCAGAGGATCTCTGCATCCATTATGTTCATTTACCTAGAGTGCAGAAAGTATCTTCCACTGATATCTTTGTTGGTTCTAGATGGTTTGCTCACTGAAAACAAGCAGGTTTGCTAAGGTGTGAGAGGGATGGAGAATTTTTATTTCAAAGAAGTCCTCTTTACCAGGAAAGAAAACAGAACTTTAAAGTTTACATGCATAGGACTAACACTGCAAAACAGAATCATATAGACAATAACACATTTTCACACTATTTTGATAGAAAAAAGTGCTCCACACAAATTAGAAAAAGTAAGCACTTTAAATTAAAAACTTGCAATTGGCATAAGAGACTTCTTTCATCTTTCAGTGGGCGAGAGTTAAAACCACCTTAGAATTTTAAAAGTATACTTGCACAAAACTTCATCCCAAACATGCAATGGCACCAATATCAGACAAAAACAAAACATGGAGCTCCCTCCTCTTTTTCCATACCTAAAGTGGGGAGGACACAGAACATGATCATAAACAAGTTTACTTAAGAATTCAGCCAAGTTTATACAAAGAGAGAGGGTGTGTTTGGGAACACTGTATCGGCAAGGGATTCTGCAGTAAAATGCAGCTGGTCCTTCAAATATATATATATATATATATATAGCAAGAGCCTGCTGGATCAGGCCAATAGTCTTATCTACTCTAGCATCCTGTTCTCACAGTGGCAGACCAGATGCCTGTGGGAAGCCTGCAAGAGAGATCTCTTCCCTCTTGCATTTTCCAACGACTATTACTCAGAAGCATTTCTGCCTCTGGCCAGGGACACCACACCTTACAACATATTGAAGTCTAAACTTTATGTTGATCTATGACTGCATGTATATTTGCAACAGTACAATACTATCGTCTATTTTGTTGCGAGAGGGCTACCCCACAGCAACTTCTGGAAGTTTGGCCGCAGGGTCTCCCCCGGTGTGTGTGGGGAGACAGCCCAGCTGCAGTTTTGCAGAGTACGCCTTTCCAACTCCTGCTGCACTTTACTTTTCCCTCGGCGCGACCTTAGACCCGAAGCTGCTGGGCGCGACGGGCCACGCCAGGACAGCCAACAAACCGCAGGAAGGAAAGGAGAGGGAAGGGAAGGGAGGTCCCGGCTCAGAGCCCAAAGGTGAAGCCCGAGTTGTACCTGCTGCTGCTGCCGCTGTTGGCGCCGCTTCCCTGGCAACGTCTCTCCTCGTCTCCGGGTGGGAAAGAGGCGAAGCGGCGGCGGCGGCCTGGGAGAAGACCAAGGCGCTGCTGCTGAGGCTGGGGCTGGATTTCCTCCGGATGGCCACCCGCCTGAAGCCCATGCTCTCGGGCCCCTCCATCTTCCCCTCTCGCCGCCGGCTGCGCAAGTGAGGAAAGGGGGCAGAGAGAGACCAGACGCCAGGCAGCGGGCAGAAAGCCGCCCTTCCTCAGCCCCTGACAGGAATGGCCACGGCCATTTCCCACGCCCCCTACAGGCTGAGGGAGGCCGGCGGCTGCTGCCACTTGCTCCTCCGGCTGCTCTGTGGGGCGCTTTGCAAAGCGGGAAGGGGCGTCGGGAGATAGGGAGGCGGAGAAAACCACCGCCTGCCTCTTTGCCCCGCCTGGTGTCGCAACTCTGCCCGAGCGCCAGACGCCGCCCGCGAGGAGGAGGAAAGAGAGGCGCGCAGAGATTTGCGGCCGCCTCGAAATTCCCGCTCAAATCTGGCCGGGCGCCAAAAGCGCGCGCCTGGCCGGCGTTGCCTTGCCTCAGCCGCAGGCGCGCGCACTCTCGGCTCTGAGCTCCTTCACCTGCCAGGTGAGACAGGGGAGGAGAGCCCGCCCTTCCTCCTCAGGCGGGGCAGCCGCGCGCTGCTGTTACGAAAGTTCTGCTCGAGCTGCAGCCCCTGAGAGCCTGTCGACCGCGGGCGGATTTCACGCCGCCTTTTTAAGCGGGCTCTTATGTCAGGGTTG